ACAGAGCTTCTGGGAGATCCCCCAGCTGTGCGAGGCCGGCAGATGGAGCCTGGGTAATTAGAGCCAGCACAGCCGAGGGGTGCTGCAGACTGGGGCGCAGATGAGTTACGAGGCGGCCCCTCCCTGGGGACCCAGGCCCCTCTGCTCCTGGGTGGAGGGCTGGAGCGGGGCCTAGGGGAGGGCGGCCTGCGTGGAGCAGGTCCCAGGCAAGAAGGCTGCAGGGGGCGGGGGCCGGATCCCCAGGCCCCTCGGGTGGCGGGGAACAGCATCTGCCTCTGACAGGCACCGGAGGACCCCGCTGGCATGAGGACAGCTGCAGTCCTTGTCCCTCCGTCAGAGGAGCTGGGCCGAGGGCCCCACAGGCTCCACTGGGGTTCACGTCGTCCCTCCACATCCAGCCAGAAGGCTGGACAACCTGAGGTCTTCGCCTGACCCTGGGTTTCCTTACTTGGATGCATAGCATTAACCATACCCCGTCCCACAGCGACGGCAGTCAATTAAGAGGCCTGCCAGGGGCCTGGCACACGGCAGGTGCTTAATCAACCAGGACCCCCCTGCTGCCGGCACCACCCACCCCTTCCTCCAAAAGTGGCCACCTCGGACCCTGCCGCCACCTCTGCAGGCGGAAGGCTGGCCTCCACTCGCTGGGCTCTGGGGAGGCAGGGGGTGGCCCACAGCACCGGCCCTGTGGGGTCCTGCAAAGGCAGGCGAGGCAGCAGGTGTGTGTGGGACGTGAGCATCGCCACCGCCAGCTGGCGCTGTTACTGTCGTGGTTCGGGTGCCCGGACAAACACAGACGACGCTTTCAGGCAATGCGGGAAAGCTCTCGGAGTTCCAGGCCCCGAGCCCAGAAACCCACGGCATAGCCAGGGCCACCAGGGGCTAGAGCTGCTGACAAGAGCCCCCCAGACATGGATTCCTGGCCCGGGCTCCTCCAGCTGTCCCCACTGTCCTGGTGTGGAGGGGAGGGAGCTCCCAGCCGCCCACCGCCTGCACCTGACCCGCCTCGGCACGGCTCGCCGTCCGCGCACCCGCTCAGCAGACCTCTTCTTGGCAGGATTTTGCTAAATCATCAGATGCAGCTCAGGGTGTGGGAGAGCGTCTGGAAGAAGAGAGGCCTGGGGCTGGAGGAGGGGAGGGGAGGCTCCTGGCGAACCAAGGAAAGTCCCTGAGAGTCGGGTGTTGGGGCGCCTAACCTGGTCGGTGACCCTGCCCGTCCTATCAGATCCCCCGCCCTGGAGGAGCAGCCACAGCCCCCCGAAACGCAGGCCGTCACGCCTCTCCCCACCCCACGTGGCCCGGAGGGAGGCCGGTCACGGCCGCTCTGCGCTCCGGCCCCAACTCTGTTCTCCCGCCTCCTGCAGCCGCCCACCTTGAAGAAAGCAGGCCCTTGCTGGCCTCTGCCCAGCAGGCCCTTCCGCCTGACCTATCTCAAAGCGCCAGAGTCTCCTCCTCCTGGAAGCCTCCCTGGATCTCTTCTCCCAACAGGGTTGCACGTGCCTTGCTCATGTGCCCCCAGAGCCCCCTGCATTCACTTGTCTCTCCCCTCAGATTGGGTCTAACGCAAAGTCTCGGGTACTGCTGTGGCCTCAGCGCCTAGTACCAGGTCTGGAATATTGTCCATGCAATAACAGGAAGGTGAGTGGGTGGAGGGATAGATAGATAAGGGATGGAGAAGTGGATGAACGGACAGATAGATGGTGGGTGGACGAGTAGGTGGACGGATAGGTGGGTGGGTGGTGCGTGGTGGGTGGGCAGGTGGATGGAGCGGGGGTTGGTGGATGAGTAGTAGATGGACATGCAGGTGAGTGCACGTGCAGGTGGACGGACGGATGGTGGATAACTGGGTGGGGTGGTAGGTATGACCTGGACTGCTGTCCCCTCTGGGTAGAACCTCAAGTCCCAACCCCGTTCGAGTCATCTTGGTGGGTCTCGTATGAGCCAAGTCTGTCTGGTGACAGAAAGCCACCGCTCTTGTTGTCACACAGAATAAGGCTGGAAGGGTAATGAGATCTCCGTGGGTGGCCGGGAACGGGGACTCCTGGGGAGGCGAGAGGCAGGGAAAGCATCGCTCACCTTTTAGCAGGCACAGCCTGGCCAGGACGCCTGGGCAGCCACGCCGCAAGGACTCCACCTGTCCCTTCACCTTGTGACTCGGTCAGGAGTCAACACCCAGAGCCAGGGAGAGTCTGCTGGCCAAGGTCTGGGTTGTACACACGCCCTGGCTGCCAGCAAGGCTGAGCCCAGGACTTCCATGAGGGCCAGAGACCACCAGCTGTGGGGGTCCTCCCTCAGCCAAGAATCGTGCGTGTCCCGTGCCAGACTCCCGCAGAGAGCCCGCGCTCGGGCGGGTCTGCTGGGAGGCCAGCTGCCCATGAGAGACCCCAGCATGCCGATTTGCATCTCCCCACCTAGAGGGGCCCCTGGTGGTCCGAGCCGGGACCCACCCTCCTGGAAACACCCACAGAGCCTGCGTCGAGGGACTTGATGCACTCCCTTGCTTGCCCACCAGTCGAATGGTCAGTACATCCCAGGATCTCGGGCAACTGGACGTTGGTGGAGATGGGCTGAGGGTGGTGTCCAGCCTGTTGGTTGGCAGTGGTGTCACCTCGGCTAGCACCCCACCTACATGACAAAACCTCGCAGAACCTGAGGGGGATGCGGAGGAAGACCACCTGCTCCCAGGCTCCCAGAATTCTCTTTGGGAAGGGTGGGGGTAGCCCCTGGCCGAGGTGGGGGCAGGGCAGGGGCCATGTGACGCTGAGCTGGATTTTCGGTAATTAGGGAGGCTGTCGCTAAGGCCTCCAGTTGTCCGCTGTCCAGAGGGCCCGTTCGGCTGCACCATCAGGGAAGCGCTCAGTCTGAGAGACAAAATTCAACCTCAAGCAGGGGGGACATGGCCGGGGTGGCCCCTCGGCCCTCCCCAGGGAACACGGGCGCCACGTCCGAAGGGGGCACTCTCCCTGTTTCAGAGGCAAGGTCGGCTCAGGCCCACGGGGGCGCAGTCACTGGAGGTGGCCAAGGGCGGAAGCCCCTAGGGAGGGATGTCCTCCAGCCAGGCCATACACTCGGCAGAGTGGCAGCTCTGCAGAGCTGGCCCCAAGCGGAGCCTCGCGGACAAAGACCAGGTAAGGACATCGATCAGCCGCCCGGTCACATTTCCTGCTCTGAAAGGTCCTGTAAAACACGGGAGAAAATTGACCTGTCAGGGGGATAGATGGCAGCGATAGTGGCCGCCAGCCCGGGGCCAGGTCCCCTCCGCCCACGGGGTCTCACCGGCGTTGGGTGCCCCCGCCTGCCAGAGGCTGGGCTCCTGGAGCCGGGGCCGCCCCGGAGCAGAAGCCAGGCAAGGGGAGAGGTGGCATGTCTACCAGGCCTCCTTGGGGGGCCAACTCCTCAGCCCCACCCCCCGCACGGCCGGCCGAGGCCCAGCCGCCGAGCCGTCAGCCTATAAAACGGATGGAGACCAGAGACGGCGTCAGCAGAGCTAGGGCACCTTTCAAAAATGTAATTTCTTTTTATTTCCCCCACTCCGGCCCCCTCCTCCCTCCACACTGTAACCTCCCAGTCACCCCTCTGCCTTCCTGCGGCAGGAGCTGGCGGCGACCTTGGGGCCTAGACCTTGGTGTGGGGCCTTCAAGGACGCCGGCCTCACCATGAGGGGCTCTGAGCTGAGCTGGGAAGGGCACAGTGGGCGGGGCCAGGCGCCATCTGCCACGTCGACCACCACCTGCAACTCCCTCTGCAACTCCCTCCGGCCCAGACGGCCTGGGCACGTCCCCCGGGACCCCGCAGCTGCCCGGCCCTAGGGCCTGCTCCTCGGGACAGCGGGGGCACCAGCCCGGCCTCTGCTCAGTCGGCCTCCCTCAGCCCGACCCCTAGCATGCGCTCTGTGGCTCCTGAGGACACCAGGGCTCACCCAGCCTTGGCCCGCCCATCTGGCCCCTCCAGCCACTGGGCCAGAAGCTTGTGCCCTTTGGGGGGCGGAGCAGCCTGTAGTTCCTTGAGATTTTGGGAAATGGAAGAGGGGCCCGGCCTGGGGCACCGCAGCCCCTGTGGGCCAGGGAGAGGCGCTGGCCAAGACGGGGCTGGAAAAGGCACGACCGGCCCGTCCTCCAGGAGCCAAGCGCCCACGAGCGCGGGAGGAGTGACGGGAGCCGGTGTGGCCCTCAGCCAGGTGTCAGGGCAGGATGAGCTGCCCTCAGCATGGGGCTCAGGGCCCCAGGGGCGAGGCGGTCACACGGGTGGGGGGCCAAGCGGGGCCTCTGAGCAGTGGTTCCCTCCAGGCCCCTAGAGGGCTGACCAGCATGGAGGATGGACCGTGGGGGGCAGGGCAGGAAGGGGATGCAGAGCTGGGGAGGTACCAGAGACAGAGAGACGAAGACCGGGCAGAGCACCCCGGCCCGTCATGCCCGCCTTCCCTGGGGAAGACATCATGCTGCCTGGCCCCGGCCAGCTTCTCCCAGTCCCACAGGTAGGCAGAGGTGACTTCCTGGGGACCAGAACTGGCTGAGAGCAGGGACCCCAGGAAGCCAGTCCTCAGGGCTCGCCCTGAGGGGCCGCAGGCGGATGAGGGTCTGCCCGGACCAGTGCCTGGGAGCGGCGATGCCACAGCAGTCGGTTTCGGGGACAAACGTGATGCCACAGCAGTCGGTTTTGGGGACAAACGCAGCTCCACTTCCTTCCTGCATCCCTCAGCTGAGACGGGGACAGAGGGGCTGAGAACAGGGGACGTGGCCCCGAATTCCGGCCTCTCTCTGGGCGCTGGCCCTGGGGCCCCCTGGCTGCCCCGGCACAGCTGGCCCTGGGGAGTCGCCCTCAGGTCTGACCCTGAGCGGCCGGGCCCTGCCCTTCTCCTTCGTGGAACAATGGTTCTTTGAGCACCGGGCGAGAGGCCACTCGCTGGCAGACAGGCTGGCCGGAGGCCTGTGGCCGGCGTGTGACCTGACCATGAGCAGGCGGACGACTGACCAGGCACGAGGGAGCAGTTCCTGTCCCCAGGGAGGTGGGGCCCCTACGCCCCGAGACCACTCGGGGATGGAGGGCAGCTAGGAAGGGCTGGGCTTGGCCCCACCCTCAGGGCTCGGGGGGCTGCAGGGGCTCCCTGAGGGTCGGAGGGCCAGGGAGCCCCTGCAGCTCCTTCCCAGCACCCGAGCAGCCCATCGCCCCCCGGTCTCCCAGGCTGAGGCCTCTGGACCCCGCCACTGCCCAGCTCTCTGCCTGCTCAGCCCCCAGCAGCCTTTCCAAAGCCGGCCCACCCACCGAGGCGGCCTCCGCCCTGCGGCTTCCTCTCCCGTCTCCCAGCCTTGCACCTGCTCTCCCACCAGGGATTCTGTCCCCTGCTGCCAAAGCCCCAAGCGGGGGTGACGACACATTCCCAAGCAGCACCCCCATTTGCCTGTGCGCACACTTCTGGGGCCAGGGGCACCCACTGCCCAGCCTCAGGCTCCCGGGAGCGTGGGGGGCAGGCAGTGGGGTTTGCAGTGGATCCTGCTCTCAGGGGTGCACGCACACGCGCGTGCATATACGTGTGTACACACCCACTTGCACACATGCACGTGAATGTGTGTGCGCACACCCACACGCACACACGCACACATGCGTGTGCACACACGGTCCTCCCCACTCCTCGTGTCTCAGGCACCGGGCTCTCCAGCTGGAGCTGAGGGCCGGAGGGGGTGGGGCTTGTTTTTCAGCTGCATCTGCACAGCAGGTTCGGGGTGCTTGTGGGGTAACAGCAGCTGTGAGGGGCTAGTGTTCACACAAGGACCCCACAGCGCCGTCCCCCCCTGGGTGGCCCTGCAGCAGGCAGCCTCTCTCCGGTCAGAGGGGACCCCTCTCTGCCTTCACATCCTTCTCCCCCTCCCTCATTTCCGCTCCCCCCACAGCCCCCGGGAGCCTGCGAGCCAGTCTCTCCAGCCTGCCCACCTGGTCCTGTCCTGGGCCTGTGCTGAGCAGACCCCGTGGGGCCTGGCCGTGGCGAGCCAAACGGCAGAGGGGGCAAGTTCTTTATCGTTCGTTTAACCCCTCACCGCGCCAGTGCTGGAGGGGCCCCAGCCGTGCCTGAGTCGCCCCCAGCCCCACTGCTCGCCCTGAATCTCCATCCCTCCATTTGTCCACAAATGGCTGGTTTTATATTCTCTGGCCAGCGACCTGGCCCAGTGACGCTGGCCGTTCTGCCCAGCAACACCCCCTGTGACCACCCCTGGGCACCCCAGCCCTTCCTACCTTCACCTTCCCCTGAGGTTCCTGACATTCAGGGCTGGCTCCCGGTGGCCCAGGCGCAGACTTATTAAGTAGGGCAGGCTGCGGCTCCCCGGGGCCCGGCTGACAGAAAAGCAGGTTACAGCCACAGAGCCTCAGGGCTGGCGGGTTCTTACGAGCCAGCAGGAAACGCGGGTGGCCGCTCCGGCAGGGCACGCAGGACTTCCGGGGCCTGCCCAGCCCCCCGGGCACACCCAGAGGCCATCAGGATGGAACAGTTGCCCCGAGTGCTCTAGGACCCTCCCGTCCAGGGACACCGCACCCGCCGAGGGGCGAAGAGGAGGTGCCGACATATCCCCAAAGACTCCCCAGTTTCGGTCGTGTGGGTTTTTTTAAATATAACTTTAGTTTTCCTTTTATCCCAAAAGTTAAGTTTTCTGATTCTAACGAGACAAATGGAAAACTCGGGAAGACAGCGAGGTTAGGTGCCCACCTGTGATCGGCACAGGCAGAGCCACCTGAGGGGGCGCAGAGCACTGAACCAGCCAGGCGGGGGGGAGGGCACAGGGCCCCTGGGGCCGGGGAATCAGGAGGCCAGGCGGTCGCCCGGCTGCTCCTGGTCCAGCCACGTGGGGGAGCCGTGGTCGCTGGAGCTCGCCCTCCCCAGACTCATCGGCCAGGGTCCCCCTGGACTGCAGGCCCCCCGAGAAGCCGGGCAGGACCGGAGGCTCCCTCTTCCCAAACACACCTCTCTCTCCTGCAAAATAATTTAATGCATCTTAATGGCTTGAACTTGATGTAAAAATTACGGGCGTGGGGGTGGGGTGGGGTGGGGGGCCCTCAGTAAGAAATCCTTTTGAAAATATAATTGAGTTAATGGAGCCATAACTGTGTCTCATTTTGGGGGTAATTGGCCTGCTTTTTGTCACTTGTCCATTTACATACTCCTGTTTTCTTTTTGCTATTGATTTTTTCTTTATAAAGTGGGCCACTTTACTGCAATTTTTAAAGCCCCAGTGATGAATAAAAACCTCATCTTCCCACTCATTAAGACGCAGGAATTAGCTGGGCTCAGGGCCCCCAGTCAATTTGTGTTACAATCCTGGGCTGCACGGTTTGGCTGAGGCAGGGAGCAGGGGGGGCTGCCTGCCGAGGGCGAGAGGTTCCGAGGCAGCCAGAGGGGCCGAGCCCATTCCCTAGGGTGGGTCCTGGGCAAGGGGCGTCTTCGGACGGGTCCACCCCCAGGAGAAGGAAGGAGAAGCCACCTAGCACTCTTGCCTGGGATCAGGGTCTCCTAGACCTGGGGTCCCCAATCCCCCGGGCCGCGGCCCGGTACCAGTCTGTGGCCTGTTAGGAACCGGGTCACACGGCAGAAGGTGAGCGGCAGGCGAGCAGCGAAGCTCCATCTGGACCTGCAGCCGCTCCCCAGCACCGGCATCGCCGCCTCGGCTCCGCCTCAGACCACCGGGCCTTAGACTCTCGCAGGAGCGCCAGTCCCCGGAACCAAAAATGATGGGGACCGCTGTACTAGACTGTGCCCCTCCCCCTCACCGTCTTCCTCCCCTGCCGAAGGCCCTGGGTCCCTCTTCCTGCACCTGCCTCCTTATGGCTGTAACTCGGAGGTCCCATCCACCTGCCTTTGGCTGCAGACCAAGGTCACATTTCCTTGAGAAAACATTTGTCTAATTATAAAATCCACACACACGCCAAGCGAATGAATTCAATGGGACAAAGGGGTGGACGGTCGCGCCTCCCCTGCACCCCGACCTCCAGAGGCACCGGCTGCGACCGGCTGGCTCCCTGCCACCTGCGCCTCGCCATGGTGTCGCTCACTCTCAGACATCTTCCAGGGCAGTGCACGGGGGGCCCCTGATCACGTCTTCTGACTTCACAGCACACTCCCTGGCACGACCATCATGGTGCATTTAGGGCGACCAGCCTTCGGGGTTTGTGGGGCCGGGGTTTCCCGGGACACGGGACTCCCGGGCCAACGGGGACGGTCGGTGAGTTGATGCGAGCTGGCCGGTGTCCTGCTGTTGGGCGCCTAGGTTGCTTCTAGTTTCTCAGCATGACAGACGTCGCCGCAGAGGACACCTCTTCACGTTCAAGTGGATCTGGACGATAAACTCCCTAGAAGAGGAACTGATGGGCGAAAAGACGAACGTATTTCAAATTTCGATTGCCACGGCCGGGCAAGAGCTGCCAGCACCCCGCCAAGGTCCGTTTCCCGGCGTCCTTGGCAAAGCAGGAGCTTGTCAATCATTTTGGTCTTTGACATCTGATTGATGACAGAGTGTCCTGCAGGATTTTTCTTTTAATCAGCTTTAAGATGTGACTTACATACAATAAAACACCCACTCTGAGTGCGTAGTTCGAGGGGTTTCGGCAAACGTACACAGGCAGGTAACTGCCACCACAGTCGGGGTGCCGAACCTCCCCGGCGCCCCTGGGAAGTCCCTTTGCCATCAGCTCCCCGCCCCATCTCAACCCCGGGCGACCACGGACCGCTCTCGGTCACTGCACACCGTTTCGACTTTCCTGGAGGTTCACACCCAGGGAATCGCACAGAATGTCCTGGCTTCGTCGCTCAGCACGGGTGTCTGAGACGCGTCTGGGAGGTCGTGTGCATCAAGAGCTCTTTCTTCTTTACGGCCGCGTGCTGTCTGTGGACGGCGTCACTTGTGCTCGGACTTCTGGGCTGTTCCGGTCTGGGGCTGCTTACGAATACTGGAGTGCAAGGCTGTATGTGAGCGTGTGTGTTCATCAACCCCGGGGAAATGCGGGGAGTGACCGGCTGGGTCACAGATGGCGCTGCCCCGTCTCACGGTCCTGCCGCGGTGGAGGGCGCCAGCCCCGCCACGTCCTCGCCGTTCTCACGGGCACCTGGCTCTGCCCACCTTTCTCGCCCAGTCGCCGGGAAGAGTATAGCGGTAACTCCGTGGTTTTAACTTGCATTTCCTCGATCACTCTGCCGCCTTGGGACGTTCGTTAAAAACGATGATCTTATCGTGAAGTTTCAAACATTTTGTGTAATAAATTTCTGTTTGTGGTTTTGGGGTTTCATCACAGTTTTCTTTTGTACTCCAATCGTGATGGCTTTGGTCCCCAGAAATTGGCTCCTGAGGCTGATCCCCGCTTAGTTTTTAGGCATTTTCAAAGAGATGGATCCCACACCGAGGCTCACAAGCCCCCATGACCCCTCCCCTCCGGCCACTTATGGGAAAGGCATATAGAAACCGATATTTCTGCCCACCTGGGCCACTGACGCCCACGCCAAGGGTCTTGTGCTGCCATCTGGGCAGCTCTGCCTGCTCTGACTCTCACGCCTCTGACCACAGGGCTCGCCCCTAGGTCGAGGTGCCTGGGAGTTACGAAGGTGAGCTGCAGGCCGGCACCCGGGCAATGAGCCCACGTGCACAAGGGGCCCAGGACACAAGGAGCCCAGGGCGAGGGAGCTGGATGCAGGGGAGGGGCCGAGGCTGCCCAGCAGGAAGATGGAGTGAGGTCCCCACCGTGTCAGTCCTGACCAGTGAGCCAAAGCCGTCTGTCCCACCAACCCCAGATCCACTCCCGCTGCTTCCTGGCACAGGGCTACGTTTCCCAGCACCCCTTGTCACCACGGTCACCTCCCGCCTAACTTTTGGACAAGGATATGCGTGGAAATGGTGGGAAAAGAGACAATGAGACCCCCTCAGGAAGTTGCCAGACTGTCTGGACCCCCGGTGAGATGGAGCCCACCCCGGCTGCTGGCTGAGGGTTGGGCCATGCCACAGGGCCTCTACCTGGAGGGGGGGTGGGGCAGAGAGACCTGCAGCTGCTCCAACGAAAAGGGTTTGTAGATGCACCTTGCCACCGAGGAGGAGGGCTCTAGGGGGTGCAGGGCAAGGCCAGCATGGGGGTGAGGTTAGGCTGCAGGAAGCGAGCAAGGTGTCAGCAAAGGAGGTCGGGGTACCTTCTCCCTCAGCCCAGGGCGTGAAAACAGCCCTTGTGCACAGTTAGGAAGGGCTCAAGGGTCGGATGTGCCGCTGGGTCTTTCCCCAAACCCCGAAGGCCCACCCTGTGGGGCCCCCGGGGCTCCCCGGATGGGCATCGGGTCCCCATGATGCCAGGCCTCCTCCTCGTCTTCCTCAAACCCACCCGGAGGTGCTATTATCAGGCCTATTAACGTTAGAGGAAATCAAGGCCCACGGCAGTGGAGAGCCAGCACCCCCCCCCAGGATGCCGGGACTCCCCACTGCGGCCCTCACGCCCTGCCCTGGTGCTGGTCCAGCTCTGCACCCCCACCCTGAAGCGGTGGGGTTCGGGCCCCGGCGTCAGTATTCATTTCTCTAACATCTCGACTACGTTTCAATTTCCCCCGTCCCGGCTTCTGTTTTAACAAAAATACATATGTTTTTCAGGCGGGGTCGTTGGAGCCCTGCGGGTCCCCAGCGGGGTCCGGAAAAGACTCCCCTTGCCAGCTCCTTCCAGGGGCTTGCCTTCCTCAGCTCTCACACCTGAGCAGGCACCGGATCTCCCCCCCGCCCCCGCCCAGGTGCTTCTGGCTAAGCGGGTCGCGGTGGCCCCCCACTGCAATCTGGCCAGCGCCCAGGTGCTGGTGGGGCCACACCAGGACCGAAGCCCCAGGCCAGTCCTCCGCGAGCCCCAGCAGCCTGCCCACAGCCTCTCTTCACTTCCGCTGGGGCAGGGGGTCTCCTCCGGCGCGACTCTCAGAAATTCGAAAACCCCCAAGCGGAAAGGGAGGCCTGCGCCTGGGCAAGGGGCGGACGGGGCTGGCGCAGGTCAGGCCCTGGGCCAGGCGCTCGGGCCACACGGAGGGGCATCCCAGGCTGCCCCACCGCACCCTGCGCCCTCTGCTGGGGGCCCGGGTCCCACCGAGGGGAAGGCCGACGGACCCCCCGTCACGTGACCTCACGTAGCCTGCTCTAATTGGCCAGCCTGGGCCATGCGCCCGCCCCTGACTGGAGCAGCCACCGTGATTGACAGCCTGACTGGGGGAAGGACTGGTGATGGGAGCGGCCACAGCGCCCCTTTTTAATCAGAAGGAAGCTAGTGCTTCGGCCCTTGCATACCAGGCCGGCAAGCCTCCCTCTCCGCTCTGCACGACGGCGTCCTAGGTGGTGGACTGAGGGCCGAGCTGGCCACCACGGCGGTCACTAGGTCCCCAAGAAGGCCTGGGATGTGAGGCCTGAGCACGTGGCTGGGCCCCACCCAGGCCTGTCCCAGAGTCCTTTGGGCCAGGGCCATTTCCTAAAGTGTGTCCTGAGCTACTCTGAAGGTAGGGAGGGTCTGGGCCCCTGATGCTGCCCCCAGGAGGTACCAGACCTGCACTGCCCCGCCACTCCCCCAACCCCCGCAAGTCCCCAGACTCCACGTGGACTTGGGTAACACCGGGGCCGACAATCCCGAAGCCCCGTCCAGGCTGCTGCTGGCTGTGTCTGGGGTGGGGCAGGTCTCGGGTGCCATTCTGGACCCCCTCCTGCTGAGGCCTTGTCAACTACCCCCTTCGTGGACCTGGGCCTGGTCCTTTGCAGGATGGACCCTGCTCCTCAGCTGAGAGGGGGTGACCTGGCATCACACCAATCTACTCATGATGTGGTACTGGGGGGGGCGGGACCGGGGACCCCCGCCCAGCAGCTAGGCCAACCTGAGCTTGGCTGTTTCCTCCCACTCGGGTCCCTGGGCTTGGCCCCCCCTCCTAGAATCTACAGTCTGGGGGTTCTGCTGACCGG